CTGAAACTGTCATTCTACTTCGCAAAATTTTTGGGAAAAAAGAAAATTATTTTTTCTCATGAAATGATAATCTTTTCCAGATGGTAATGACATATACGCATCGGCGATTTCGCCAACTTTGAGCCCTGTTTTTGGCTAATTCCATTGTTCCAGTTGACCAAACTCATAGCTATTTCTTTAGAACTCCATTTTTTCTATCAGATGAGTACAAGAAACCACCCATTTACCGATTTGAACTACCCAAAAAAGTGGTCAGAAATTGGCAATTTGGCCAATTTCACGCAAATTAAAAAAGACGCCAAGTGCCAAGAATGTAGACATTCTTGGCACTAAAATAACATATCCTCTGTTCATTAGTCACATCTCTAGGCCCCTCTTATATTACTATTGCTTTCTATTTTGATTTTTTATTCATACAAAAAATACAAAATTTACTCTTATGCAGACTACTGCATTATTGTAAAAATGGTATAAATAATATCAGTGCACTAGTGAAAGAATATTAGACTCCCCAGTTGATGTGTATTGGATGTGTGGTGTGATCTGTTTACTCCTGAACATTGGTAAAAATTGAACATTTCCGCTACTTTGAGCTCAATTTCAAGGTCGTTTTCATCATGAAACTAATAAAAATCATCTCTATTTCTGTAATATGCTTTCCATTTTATCACGTGAGACCATGAAAACGAGAATGCAATGATAAATACTATACGAAAATACACCTCAAGTTCGGCATTTTAATCCCAAAAAACGGTCAGTTTTTTTTTCTCATTATGCACTGCGTGTTGCAGGATTTTTTTTATGTGGTGCACACTGACCACACAGACCCATTCTCTCACATGTGGGCTTACCAGCTTTCTCCTGCTTGATTTGAAGCCGCCAGAATTTACGCGTATAAATACTTCCGAAACAGTGGCGCATAAGACGTATACTGTACATGTATATACGACCAAAACAGTCAAAGGGTTAAGGACTCACCCTCCAGGCTTGGAGAAAAATTTGGTGGATGAATACAGCTTCATTAAAGTTAAGATCTTGCCCCCTAACACCACTCCTCTTATCCAACCCATGGACCAGCAGGTAATTTCCAATTTTAAGAAACTTTACACATAAGCACTGTTTAAATGGTGCTTTGAAGTGATCTCTGAATTAGAGCTTACCCTAAGTAAATTTTTGAAAAACCATTTTAATATCCTCCAGTGTTTAAGGATAACAGACAAAGCTTGGGGAAAAATTTCTTTCAGGACAGTGAACTTTGCCTAGAAGAAACTGTGGCCAGACTATGTGTCAGTCAAAGATTTTGAAGGCTTGGAGGCAGAGCCTGTAGTGAAGGATATTGTTTCACTGGGCCAGTCCATGGGTTTGGAAATGGATGATGAGGAAGTTGAGGAGTTGGTGGAGGATCACAAGAATGAGCTCACGACGGAAGAACTTTCAAGACCTGCACAAGGAGCAGCAAGAAGTGGTTGAGGAAATTTCTTCTTCAGAGGAGGGAAGCAGTAAGGGCAACATTTCCACTGCAGAAATTAAGGAATGGTCTTACCATCGGACTCAAACACAGAGCCTGGTGGAAAAATGGCATCCTGCTGTGAATAGGAGCATCAACCTGTTCAAGGACAATGTTGGTGGCTACTTTAGAAAAATTTTGAAAAGTTACTGCTGTATAGTCCTTGTGGCTTAGCGCTTCTTTTTGATTATAATAATAATAATGAAAAATTACTGCACAGAGACAGAAGAGATAAAACACACTAGATGGGCAGTTACCTGATGTTTTTATGGAAGGTGACAAACTTTCCAAACAATAATATTTCTCCACCTTCCTCTTAGGCAATTAGCACTCCTCAGTAAAGGTAAAGTGCAGTTAAATTTTCATTATTACATGTATTTGTTGTTTTTATAGTTTTTCATGTATGATTTTATGCATGCAAATATTATTATACAGGTTTAAATAACCAATATATTTACATAAAATGTTTTATAATTGATAATTTTTGGGGGTGTGAAACAGAATAATCCAATTTATATTATTTCTTGTGGGAAAAATTTATTCATTATTCATACAACTCACTATTTCAGTGTTATTCACTAACTATATAACAAACATTGTCCTATAAAAACAAAACAGATCACAAACAAACGGCTTGGTTGCCCATGGCTAACCAGCACCATTCTGAAATCCATTGACAAGAAACACCAATATGAAAAGCAATATAGACAGGGCTTAATACACAAAGATACTCTTAAACACTATTCATCAGCTCTCACCAAAGTAATAAAAAAAGCCAAACAACTATACTACTCCAGTAGATTCACAGACACTAGAGGAGATATAAAAAAGACCTGGAAAACACTCTCTCAGATTCTAGGGACCCACAAACTGAGAAAAACCAAGAATATTGTCCTAACTAAACCTAATGAAACACCACTACATCCCACTGACACAGCTAACAAGATAAACGACTCTTCTCAAACATAGGATCTAATCTCGCCAGTAAAATCCCACATACCAATGCCCATGCCGGGGACTACCTAGATGGAAATTTCCCTAATTCCTTCTATCTCGCACCAACTGAGCCCACGGAAGTCATTGAGATCATAAAGTCACTTAAAAATAACTCGGGGAATCTGTCTCATGTCCCACCATTACTGTACAAGCGAGCGGCCCATGTCCTTTCGCATGCTATTTCATTACTTTTTAACAAGTCAATAGAGACTAGCACCTTCCCGAAACTACTCAAGATGGCAAGGGTTACACCAATACATAAAGGTGGTGACCCTACAGACTTAAACAACTATAGGCCAATATCTAACTTACCATTGCTATCCAAAATCTTTGAGAAACTCGTGCACAGGAGACTGTATTCATTTATAACGGCTCAAAACATACTCAACCCCTGCCAGTTTGGATTTAGGAAAAATAAAAGCACTAATGATGCAATCATAAAAATGCTAGATCTGCTTTACACAGCATTGGAAAATAAGGAATATCCACTAGGAATTTTTATTGACCTAAGAAAAGCTTTTGACACAGTAGACCACGACATCCTACTCCACAAACTTGATCACTACGGTATAAGAGGCCATGCACTTGCTTATTTCAAATCTTACATTACTAATAGGTATCAGTACGTCACCATTAAAGACACAGCATCAGCAACACGGCCACTTGATACTGGAGTTCAGCAGGGAAGTGTCCTAGGTCCCCTGCTCTTCCTCATATACATCAATGACCTTCCAAACGTATCCCAACACCTGAAACCCATTCTCTTTGCGGATGACATGACTTATGTCATCTCTCACCCTAATCTTGCCACCCTCAACACCATTGTGAATGAGGAGCTGATTAAAATATCGACTTGGATGACAGCCAATAAACTTACGCTTAACACTGACAAAACCTACTATATTATGTTTGGTAGCAGAGCAGGAGATGCACAAATTAACATTAAGATTGACAACACTCTAATTACCAGAAATAATGGGGGAAAATTCCTAGGTTTATACCTTGACAACAACCTGAATTTCAGCACCCATATCCAGCATATAGCCAAAAAAGTATCCAAAACGGTTGGGATCCTCTCCAAGATACGATACTACGTGCCGCAAAATGCCCTTCTCACACTATACCACTCACTTATTTATCCATACCTCACCTATGCTATTTGTGCTTGGGGATCAACTGCAGCAACACACCTAAAGCCAATAATAACCCAACAAAAAGCTGCAGTAAGAATAATCACTAAATCCCATCCCTGGCAACACACCCCCCCACTCTTCATAGATCTAAACTTGCTCCCAGTTCAGTACATCCACACTTACTACTGTGCAATCTATATCTACAGGGCCTTAAACTCTAATATCAACCTTGACCTAAAACGCTTTCTTGATAGTTGTGACAGAACCCACAGGCATAACACCAGACACAAACATCTCTACGACATTCCCCGTGTCCGACTAAACCTTTACAAAAATTCAATGTATGTCAAAGGCCCTAAAATCTGGAATACCCTACCTGAGAACTCTAGAACTGCAGACACATTCATCACCTTCAAAACTACCATTAGAAAACATCTTATCTCCCTGATACACCCCGTCAACTACTACACAAATACCACCTGGTGGTTCACACTTACACTCACTCACTCATTTGACCATAAACGGAAATATTAATCTCAGTCTTAAAATAATGAATCCTGTGATACTCCAATACTGAAACTATGTACTGTGCCAAAACAAAAGCATTCACATTGCTAAACTCACAAACTAGTATTTAGTCACTTAGCCATAATACCAACTTACCTCATAATTTGTAATATTTTACAATTAAGAATAAAACTAAGTATGCCCGAAATGCCTAGCCATGCTAAGCGTTCTAGTGGTACACTCTGTAATCACAATTTTACTACATGTAAACCAAACAATAACCAAATTTCTGTAAACTCAGCATTGTAATCCTTATAGAGAATAAACTTTGAATTTGAATTTGAATTTGAACTTTTGCAAGAGAGCCACTTCGGTTAAACACATTGATTGAGAGAGACGCAGCTACTGCAAGTTAGCGTAACTCAACTAAATTAAGTAGTACTGAGCTACTAGTGAAATATAGTAAATGAGAAAAATTAGACATGGTAATATTAGCCTGCATATCTTGTTATTGGCGGCTCGCGAGCCGCGCAGTGAATACCACTGCACTATTTGAACAGCCTCCTAGAATGGGTTAAGTTCAAATATTGAGGTACCACTGTATCTGACATTGTATAAGAGTTGCATGACTGAAAATGTGGCAAAAAAAGATGAGTAGTAAAAATTCAAGAATAATGGAATGTTAGAAAAATTTGGAATTAATATAAGAGAATGCACAATATTGTAGTTTAAAGAACTTTTACACAAGCTACCCACGTCATTTTTTACATTAATGGGAAGTGTAATGAATTCCAAATAAATCAACAAGATTACAGCTTGCAGCCTTTGCATAATAATACACATATCTGTGAACATACCTTAAACCGTTGAGACTCTGAGTGAGTTGTTGAATCATTAACTGTGTTGGGATCACTGGTTGATAGCTTGTTGGTTATGACCTCACCATAACGTGACATTGTTGGAGGAACTGTTGTAGTACCTTTCAAAGAAAACTTAACATGAAATCAAATACAAATGCAAAAAAAAAAAAAATCAAATACAGTAATATATTATGAACATTAAAATTCCTTATTTTTTTGGCTTGGTCACACTAGTTACTCCTACGACATATAAATTATTTAGTAGGTCCAGGAGCATTAGTTGAACTTTGTCAACTGGGCATATAACAGCTCAGAAACTATAGCTCAACTTTCTCAGCTTGGCATATATTAGATCCTGGAACTGTAGCTCAGCTTCCTCGCTGCACTAGTCATATGATAGGTCTAGGAACTCTGGCTCGACATCCTCTGCTAAGCATGTACAGTAGTTCCAGGAACTGGAGCTCAATTACCTCAGCTAAACATTTAGTTGGTCTATATAAGTCAACTTTAGCTGGAACTGTAGATCAAGCAATCATGTGGTATGTGCAGGAAGTGTAAACCAACTTCCTCAGGCAGTCATGTGGTAGGTTAAGGAGTGTTGTTGTTTTTGTGAAAAATGTTAAGTGGTGCACAACAGAGGTAAGAGGGTAGAGAGGTGAAGGTAGGCGAGTTGAGAAAAGAAAGGGTATCGGTGAAAAGAAAAGGGTTTGCGAGCGAGAAGCATGTGGGTGACAAACTTTATGTTCAAGAGCACATGTTGTTACATCATCACTGAGCCTGTAACAGCTTGTTTACACCGTTTCAAAAATAATAAGGTAACCCAGCAGGTCAGCCGTATTATCATGTGAGAAAAGAGAGTTATGATAGACCTGGTATTAATTCATGACTCCTAAGCTACCAGTGCAATTATTAGTAACTCATTATTGGTATTAATGTGAGACAAACATCTGGAAGGCTTTATGACAAAGTGTAACTCAGTCAGACTTCAAGACAGATCCTAAGGTAAGCATTTTTTCTGGTATTTTAAAGTCACATTATACTTCCTCCAGTGTGACCCTAGTTTGCATGCTTCTGTCAGTGATCATACTTCAGTAACAGACACAAAATCAGTTTTATACTGTTTTCCACTCTTCCTTTATTACATTATAATAGTCATTCATCTATCCATTTCTTTTAATATTTGTGCATGTGGATCTCCAAACACTCATAAATTCTGAATTCCTCAACATTTATTAGCTATTTAAACTTTACTCTAGCTGTAGAAAACATACTGGATTAACAATAGAGTGAAAAACTAATGTCAAACACCTAGGAGTGATCATGTCAGAGGATCTCACCAAGGACCATAACATTGTATCAATTGCATCTGCTAGAAAAATGACAGGATGGATAATGAGAACCTTCAAAACCAGGGATGCCAAGCCCATGATGACACTTCAGGTCACTTGTTCTATCTAGGCTGGAATACTGCTGCACATTAATAGCACCTTTCAAGGCAGGTGAAATTGCTGACCTAGAAAATGTACAGAGAACCTTCATGGCACACACAACTGCGATAAACCACCTCAATTACTGGGAATGCTTCAAGTTCCTAAATCTGTACTCCCCAGAATGCAGGAGGGAGAGATACATGATTATATACACCTGGAAAATCCTAGAGGGACTAGTACCAAACTTGCACATGAAAATCACTCCCTACAAAAGCAAAAGACTCGGTAGATAGTGCAACATCCCCCCAATGAAAAGCAAGGGTGCCACTAGCATGGTAAGAGACAACACAATAAGTGTCCGGGACCCAAGACTGTTCAACTGCCTCCCAGCATACATCAGGGGGATTACCAATAGACCCCTGGTTGTCTTCAAGCAAGCACTGGACAGGCACCTAAAGTCAGTAACTGACCAGCTGGGCTGTGGTTCGTACGTTGGATTACATGTGGCTAGCAGTGACAGCCTGGTTGATCAGGCCCTGACCCACCATGAGGCCTGGTCACAGACCAGGCAGCAGGGGTGTTGACCCCCAGAACTCTCTCCAGGTATACACCACATACTAGACTATAATGATAATACCAAAAGTACAGTGGACCCCCGGTTAACGATATTTTTTCACTCCAGAAGTATGTTCAGGTGCCAGTACTGACCGAATTTATTCCCATAAGGAATATTGTGAAGAAGATTAGTCCATTTCAGACCCCCAAACATACACGTACAAATGCACTTACATAAATACACTTACATAATTGGTCGCATTCGGAGGTGATCGTTATGCGGGGGTCCACTGTACTAAACATGCAAGCATGTCAGACATATTCTTGGACACTACATCTTCAAGACTTTAAAATTTAACACAAATTCAGATCTTATGTTAATCTAAATAAATCCATGAACACAGTAAGAAGTACATGTAATGTACAATATCATTTTATGTCTCAATTTTTTTTTTAACATGCCGGCCATCTCCCACAAAGGCAGGATGACCCAAAAAAAGAAATTAACATTTTCACCATCATTCACAAATAATCGCTATCTATGCAAAAGCATGCAGATATGACAGTTCAGATGTCACTCCAAACAGCAGATATCCCAAACCCCTCCTTTAAAGTCCAGGCACTGTACTTTCCACCTCTAGGTCTCAAGTGTGGCTAACTGGTTTCCCTGAATCCCTTCACAAAATATTACCCTGCTCACACTGAAACAGCTCACGTTTCAATATTGGTACTAATTCAACACACATGAAAGGATGTAAAACAAGGAATTGTCTACCAAATGCATTTAAAATTACTTGAAAACCAAGTGCTTGCGACTATTATTATTACATATTTTTTTAAATTCATTGGCTGTCTGCAGCTAAGGCAGGATGACCCAAAGAAGAAAACACAATCATTAATAACTCACTCAATCAATCTCTATCTTTTCAGAAGCATGCTGACTTTACAAACAAATTACTCCTCTGACTGCAACATCCCCCCCTCCCTCCTTCAGAGTGCAAGCACTACCCTACCTACCTCCATGACTTGTCCAGCTAAACCCATATGAATCATTCAGTGGAGGGAATGGCACACAATAAATCCTACATCTACATATACTAACTGTGAAACAGCTATGCTACTCCTGGAAGTAGCACCTTACCATCCTTGCTTGTTTGAAAAGCTTGATAGTCAGTGGATCTTCTTTGTAGGTTGCTGTGAATGCAGTCTAACCTTATCAAATGACAACAATGTGCAGGATTATCCCAGGCTAAACTGCTTTTTATAAAGAATTTGCCATGCCACAGAATTAGGTCACAAATTATATACAGTGTTTCGTTAAAAAAAAAGTGTTCTGAAATGCATTAGTTTTTTTATATTGCCACTGGAAGATATTCTTCACGAATTACTTTTTTAACTGACCATATTGAATGATGCGACGAGTGATGGTGATGGAAGTGGCAGCAGTGCTTGGGCTTGGGTGAACAGGGCTCATCACACCCATCCACACATTACTAGTAGGGCAGCAGAACACCTGCAAACATAGCATAAAATACTGTGTTAACAAATCTAATCTCTTTTCTTCCATCTTTCACAGATGACACATCAAGGCCTAATTATACCTCCCATAAATATAATTATTATACATACTGGGCAAACTGGATCTTCATTAGAATTATTTTCATGGCAGTCTGCTGGTTTGCCAATCACAGGTGGTTTTGGAATTGAAGGAGTGTGTGTAGTGCTCCCAAAGGTAGGTTTAGTCGTAAATACAACAGATGTGAGAGAGCCATCATCACTGGACAAGGAAGTCCTGTCTGTAGTAGCTGACCTCAGTGTTGGTGTCACCATAGATGATGACAGGAATATAGTGGTGGCTGTTGTTGTCCTGGAATGATACAGTACAAAATATGATCATTAGTAATTTAGGATTTTTATATTCATAAATTTTTATGTCACTCATTATACTAAATGTTCCCTATTATCATGGAGTATGTCCTCCATCATCATAAGTGAAATGCTTGTAGATGGTGCAAAAGAAGTTAAGGAATTTGAATACTGAGAAAATGAAAAAGAGAAATGCTAGATGTATGGTCCATTTTCAATGGGAAGAGGAAAACAAAATAAGAGGAAATCTCCCATAAGAGTACAGGCACTGTATAAGAAAAACAGAAAAGACTATTATATATAGAAATGATTTTCTGGTGGCTTTTCTTTTATTGTTACCACTTAAGAGGGAAGTGTCTAATGATTTAAGTAAAAGATAAAAAAAAATAAAGACAGAGTAATAAGATCAAACAGTAACTTACGTTGATGTGACTGCAGCTAGCTCCTTACGTCTCTCTTGGTAATCCAGAATGTAGATAGTTGCCATTGCCATCAAACTGTATAAATTATTTGCCAATAGCGTTAAGAAACTACAGTACATAATTGGACTTATGCTTAACAAAAAGGTCAATTTATTTATTACCATTTAATTTACTAAATTACATGAAGATACTCTGCAAGAAATCCTGAAAATTATGTGCTTCTTACCAAAATGCCATTATGCACACAAGAGTAATTGTAGTAACTTGAAGCGTCTTATTGCTACAGATGCCATCGTCGTGCCCACTACCTGCCATCTGCCTGTGATGCTTGGAGCAGCCGCGACTTCGGTGACAAACTGATGACACTCGTGACGTAGCTTTAATATTAGAAAATATCATTATGCATTTTGTCAAACTTGTACTAGAAAAGTTATGCAAACATAAAACACATACCCTCTACCATCCTGCTTGACATACTAATAGCTCTTTATCTTTAATAAAATAGCTTATCAACTTATCCCATAGAATTTGAATACAGCCTCTCCTCACTTAGCAAAGTACAAGTTTACCAACGACTTGGACTTATGATGGGCTCTCTGATCAGTTTGCATACCTAAATAATGTACGTATCTTAGAGCTGGTTTCCTCTATTCTATTTATTACAATATACAGTACACTACTGTATAAACATTTAAAAATATACCTAAAATGTTATAAATGGTGCAAAGGTGACATTAAAAGAATATTACAGATAGTTGACACAAACCCACTACCATTATAGTATGCTCCTCACTTAGCGACGAATTCGTTTACCGATGTGATCTTAGGAATGTAACTCCGTCGTTAAGTGAGGAGAGGCTGTAATTATATTATAAGATAAGATAAGATAAAGTTTATTTCTTTGTAAAGGTTACAATGTGTAATTACAATTTTGATTTGCTAAGTACAAAGATAGCCACTATCATGCCGGGGCATTTTGCATTTTATGCAAGTACACATATACAGGTACAATTATCTGCTGAATGTTTGTACATGACCATGAACTCTTGTCATACTAAATGTTCCCCCATTTATCAAACTTGTCTGGTATACTCAGGGTAGCTTCAGATAAATTACTGTTTACTACTACTACCTTTATATCATATTAATATACTAACTTTTTCCATTCAAAAATGTGTGCTGCTGTGTGTTGAACTTCCAGTGACTTTATGGATTTCTGAAAGTACAGTCTCTATGTATAAATATAGTAGTCAGGGTCAGGCTATACAAGGGATTTTTAAAACTGAATACCTGTAACTATCTTCTTGTGGGGTTCTTGAGCAGAATGTATACTGAAGAATAACATGTGGGTACATTTATTGCAGAGATGTTCTGCCAACCAGTTGCTTTATCAATCCAATAGAGAGAATGGAGTTGTAGAACTCCCTGTACCAACATCTTGGAATCTTGGTGCAGAGAATTCTTTTACAACTCTATGCTTGTCTAATCTAATGGCATGACCTACTTCCACTAGTGGGCTCCACCCACCTGTGACATCGTCTACTCTCCTGCTTTCAATGTATAAGTCTCCATCCAAGGGCATCTACTTCAGATTCATCAAGACAATTGGATGGAACACCTTTCTACACTGAGGGACTGATCACCTCAAAATATTTCATATCTTCTACTATTTGCAATATTATTCTGTCTTGAACTGATAAAGCCAATGATTGGCAAAACATTTCCACAATAAAGATACCCCAGCATTGAACATGTTTTATTCATCTACTTGTAGGTTTTGTAAACCATTAATATATGATACATTACATACTGAAATAAGTAATACATTTAAAACTACACTATTTTTTTTAAGGTGGGGTAGGTGTCATCCTCAAAAAGGTTGGAGGGAGGGGGTAAAGGAGGCTTTGTGGGCAAGGGGCTTGAATTTCCAGCAAGCATGTGTGAGTGTGTTATATAGGAGTGAATGGAAACGAATGGTTTTTGGGACCTGATGAGCTGTTGGAGTGTGAGCAGGGTAATATTTTGTGAAGGGATTCAGGGAAACTGGTTAGCTGGACTTGAGTCCTGGAAATGGGAAGTACAATGCCTGCAATTTAAAGGAGGGGTTCGGGATATTGGCAGTTGAGAGTGACTATCTAAACTGTCATATCTGGGCTCCTCTGCAAAGACAGTGATTATGTATGAGTTTTTGAGTTTTTATTGCTTTTGGGTCACCCTGCCTTGGTGGGAAATGTCCGAACGAGTTAAAAAAACAATTCTTCCCTAACCAGGTCAGAAGAAAAAGTTATTGTGCTCAAAAATATATACTGGAAATGGGAAGTACAATGCCTGCACTTTAAAGGAGGGGTTTAGGATATTGGCAGTTTGGAGGGACATCTAAACTGCCATACCTGTATGCCTCTGCAAAGACAGTGATTATGTATGATTGTGAAAGTGTTGAATGATGATGAAAGTTTTTTTCTTTCTTTTTGGCTTTTTCTTTCTTTTTGGGGTTTTCTTTCTTTTTGGGTCACCCTGCCTTAGTGGGAAGTGGCTGATGTATTAAAAAAAAAAATTTCTTATTGGTCAAATGTAATTTTTAAGACAAAGAAAACTGAAATGCAAAAAAAAAAAAAAAAAATATCCATGGTATTCAAATATTAATTTAGAGTTTAATATTTAGACACATGTGCAACAGTTGGCTTTCTCTACTGTCAAAATATTAATCACTTCACTATTACTACTTCACCACTTCTGCTGTTGCCAATGATTAAGTCATCTCTGTATTTTGACAGAAGTCTGGTGAGTAGGTGAAGTGTTTCAACAATAAAGACACCCAACTCTTTGTGTGTGTCTTCCTCATCTACTTGCTGTTACTTCATACCATTAATATACTGATAAGTTTAATACTGAAATTTCACAAACTTTATCTTCTAAGGCACCGAGGAGTTTCTCTGGTAACAAACAGACTACAAATTACCTACTGCCTTACCTGAAGTACGGGTGGATACAGATGAAGATGTTGACTTAAAGGATTCAAATCTTCGAAGCTGTGATATTTTTTTATTCATTATTTCGAGCTCTCCAATACGGTTTTCTAAATTCCCCGTAACTTTGCACAATTCCTTCACAGCGCCCACATTCTCCATAAATATCCGTTCCTAGAGAAGAAGAAAAAATTAATTCTCTCAACTTTGTAATGGCATTATTAATAAGAAGTTTTCATGGCCTTATATCAAGGTATGAAAAATATTTTTCTCTTATACTGTACGTACTTACAATTTTTTTTAAATGTTATTCTGACATCTATATATTTTTGTATTTCTCTACTCCTTAGGTAATGTAACATGAACCATGTACTGCTCAATGCATATTTAAACACAGGTAAATCTATAAGATCAGTTCTATCAGGAATGACAAATTAAAGTGCTTTTCAAGGTGAAAGTGACATTGGAGGACTGTACGAATTTAGAATAAAATACTTTTACCTTGTTTACCAGGAGAAAGTTTTCAATTTTTTCTCCGTTTGAAAGTGTTATGTCGCCAGTAGTTTTCACTGCATCTGGTATGACCTCTTTTACCTATAAAAATAAATTCCTAACTGAAGGAAGCAAGTCACAAGTACAAAGTTTCATTTTTTTTTTAACATACCGACCATATCCCACCGAGGTAGGGTGTCCCAAAAAGAAAAACAAAAGATTTTCTTTTTAAATTTGACAATTTATATAGGAGAAGGGGTTATCAGCCCCTTGCTCTCAGTTTCATATAAACAGTGGACCCCCGCCTTACGAACGCATCGCGTTACGTTAAATCCGCCATATAAAGCATTTGAACGCAAAAATTTTGCCTCGCCTCACGATAAAAAACTCGCCTTACGTGATTAGTCCGGGACGAGTCCCACGTGTGGCCTCAGCGCCAGTGTTTACAAGCCCGCCAGTGCAGTTGCATCTACGCATACATTCGGTACATTTCACATTATCCCAGTGTTTTTAGTGCTTGTAACTGCAAAATAAGTCACCATGGACCCCAAGAAAGGTTCTAGTGCCATCCCTGTGGTAAAAAGGGCAAGAATTAGTATGGAATTGAAAAAAGAGATTACGGAAATGTGTGCAAAGTGGGTTGAACTGCAAACCTTTACGGATGAAAATCACCCTGACACAGCTACTACAAGTCGTGTTGGCAACCTGTACAATGACAATGTTATGGCCCATTTTAGGAAAATCTTAAAGGAATGGGAAGTACAGAGCTCTATGGACAGATTTGTTGTGCGACAGAGGTTCAGTGAGTCTCAAGCTGGTCCTAGTGGCATTAAAAGAAGGGAAGTAACCCCGGAAAAGGACTTGCTGCCTCAAGTCCTAATGGAAGGGGATTCCCCTTCTAAACAATACTTCCACATCTCGTCCTCCTCCCATCCATCAATCATCACCAATACCTCAATAAAGGTAAGTGTCAGGGATTCTATATTTAGTAGAGTAGTAATTGTGCATTTTCTTCAGTTTGTATGCATAAAATAATATTTCTGTAGGTAATAAAATTTGTATTTTACAATTTTGGGGTGGCAGGAACAGATAATTTGATTTCCATTATTTCTTAAGGGGAAAACTCTTCGGCAAGATTAATTTCAAGGTTACGATGAGCTCTCAGGAAGGATTAACATGTAAGGAGGGTACCCAAATGTATTGTCTATCTATGATACACAGAACAATAATTCCACATTTCCCATCAATAATTTCCTGATATGTTTTGGAAGGTAAGTGCATGTCATCAGTAGAACATGTGGTTTCATTTAGTTATGGTTATTATAATTTTTGGAAGGAAATTTTTATTTTCCATTGTTCGAAAGAAATGACCAGTATTTCATATGAAATACTAAACAGTTAAGACAATGTTCAGCAAAGGCATAAATCGTAACGGCTCTCTGCGTATGACATCATGTCATAGATATCAACCAATTTCAGACAAAGCTTGTTTTGAAACGTCTTCTCTATAGCCATATTTTACACTTAGTTTTGTATCTTCATGTCTTTTGTCCACGGTGAAACATATAAAATGTTCATAATCTTGCTTCTGTATCCTCGTATTTGATAAACACTGATTCTAAAAGTAGTACATTACATTCTAAATAAATTTATGCATGAATTGGCATGATATTCATCATCAATTTGTATTCATTGCAGAATCATACTTTAATTATTTTTTATCAATTTTTACTCATGTGCTCTTTGTACTCCACAATAGTGATGGCTCTGATATATGCGTCTTTACCGTAGGTTACTGGTTGATGACCTATCAAGGATCATATGTTATATGGTTTGATGCCTCATCATGGGATCATGATCAGTCTTACAGTAGGTTTATGGTAATACTCACGTGGATCATGATGCAGTCTTACAGTTCTTCTACTAGGTTGATGACTCCATCAAGGGATCATGATTGGCAGTCTTACAGTAGGTCTACTGGTTGATGACCTCATCAAGGGATCATGATGGCTTAGTCTACTGGTTGATGACCTCATCAAGGGATCATGATGCAGTCTTACAGTAGGTCTACTGGTTGATGACCTCATCAGGGGATCATGATGCAGTCTTACAGTAGGTTTACTGGTTAATTACCTCATCAGGGGATCATGATGCAGTCTTACAGTAGGTCTACTGGTTGATGACCTCATCAGGGGATCATGATGGTTGTCTACTGGTTGATGACTTCATCAGGGGATCATGATGCAGTCTTACAGTAGGTCTACTGGTTAATGACCTCATCAGGGGATCATGATGCAGTCTTACAGTAGGTCTACTGGCTGATGACCTCATCAGGGGATCATGATGCAGTCTTACAGTAGGTCTACTGGCTGATGACCTCATCAGGGGATCATGGTGCAGTCTTACAGTAGGTCTACTGGTTGATGACCTCATCAAGGGATCATGATGGTTGTCTAGTGGTTGATGGCTTACATCAGGGGATCATGATGCAGTCTTACAGTAGGTCTACTGGTTAATGACCTCATCAGGGGATCATGATGCAGTCTTACAGTAGGTCTACTGGTTGATGACCTCATCAGGGGATCATGATAGTTGTCTACTGGTTGATGACTTCATCAGGGGATCATGATGCAGTCTTACAGTAGGTCTACTGGTTAATGGCCTCATCAGGGGATCATGATAGTTGTCTACTGGCTGTATGACTTCATCAGGGGATCATGATGCAGTCTTACAGTAGGTCTACTGGTTAATGGCCTCATCAGGGGATCATGATGCAGTCATATACAGTTAGGTCTACTGGTTAATGGCCTCATCAGGGGATCATGATGCAGTCTTACAGTAGGTCTACTGGTTAATGACCTCATCAGGGGATCATGATGCAGTCTTACAGTAGGTCTACTGGTTGATGACCTAATCAGGGGATCATGATGGTTGTCTACTGGTTGATGACTTCATCAGGGGATCATGATGCAGTCTTACAGTAGGTCTACTGGTTGATGACCTCATTAGGGGATCATGATGCAGTCTTACAGTAGGTCTACTGGTTAATGACCTCATCAGGGGATCATGATGGTTGTCTACTGGTTAATGACCTCATCAGGGGATCATGATGCAGTCTTACAGTAGGTCTACTGGTTAATGACCTCATCAGGGGATCATGATGCAGTCTTACAGTAGTCTACTGGTTGATGACCTAATCAGGGGATCATGATGGTTGTCTACTGGTTGATGACCTCATCAGGGGATCATGATGCAGTCTTACAGTAGGTCTACTGGTTGATGACCTCATCAGGGGATCATGATGGTTGTCTACTGGTTGATGACTTCATCAGGGGATCATGATGCAGTCTTACAGTAGGTCTACTGGTTAATGACCTCATCAGGGGATCATGATGCAGTCTTACAGTAGGTCTACTGGTTAATGACCTCATCAGGGGATCATGATGCAGTCTTACAGCAGGTCTACTGGTTGATGACCTCATCAGGGGATCATGATGCAGTCTTACAGTAGGTCTACTGGCTGATGACCTCATCAGGGGATCATGATGCAGTCTTACAGTAGGTCTACTGGTTGATGACCTCATCATGGGATCATGATGGTTGTCTACTGGAGGATGACTTCATCAGGGGATCATGATGCAGTCTCATAGTAGGTCTACTGGTTGATGACCTCATCAGGGGATCATGATGCAGCCTTACAGTAGGTCTACTGGTTGATGACATAGTCAGTCAAGTATCTGCTGCTAGCTACACCTAAAACTAATGCTCACAAATGTTATGCAAATTTAAATTTAAATTATTTACTTAAAAACCTAATTACTCTCGTATGTGTAAAGTTAAATACTTTACAATATATATTGATTTATAAGAATAAATTGTCAATTCTGCTTATCAGCAAGACAACTCCATCGCATCTATTTGTTTGATGACTGCTTATGTTTATTTGGTGTTGAGGTCCTTAAATTGTGTTTGGATTTGTGTCTGAAGAGATGTTATTATTTCCTTAATGGCCTGGGCAGCTTCATCTTGCCCATATATTTGCTTTGGCATGACTTTACCTGTGACGGATTTCAAGGGATCTCCTACTCCCTCCCACCAACTGACCTGAGACCAGGCTTCCACTTTAGTTATTATGTTTACTAGTTATCTACTAGACTATTTATGTCTCCCAATCTGTATATATACTAAGAATTTACTCTAATTTCTATTTTATAAATTATAGTATCCTTGACTGGCCATGTACATGTTACAGTGTATAGGTTAATGACCCTTTTGTGTAGTCTTGAGTACATGCCATGCTTACCTCAGCTACATCCTTCTTTGCACGTTTATCTGATGGCTGTAGCAACTGTCCTGTTATCTTGACATTACCATGAATCACCAGTGCCTCATCAGGTCGATCTGTATTAATTCCCACACGGCCCATGTGGTATATGGACTCGGGGTATGTTCCTCGTTGAAATGTGTACTCCACATCACTTTCAAATTGACCCGGATTTGATGCCTGAGGAAAATGGGTACTGGATACATTATATATAATTTAGGTGGTTCCAAAACATAAGACTGAATGAGAAAAAGAATTAAGTAACAGTTTCAGTTGGAGGAAAATTTACTTTATTTTTGGAAGAAATATAATATTAATAAATCAAAAGAAGGTACAGGAATAATACAATCATATCTATGGTGACTGCAAATGCATGATTCAGCATTACAAATTATCTCCATGAGGAAAATATTGCAAAATAGATTTATACAATTAAATATTATGGGGAAATTTCAAAGGGTCATTCGTGTACAGTACTACAAATTACGATCCCCTCCAGGAAGGTTCCTTGATGTTGGTGAGGGGCTCTTGATTTAGGGAATTGGATCTGTGCTCCAGTTCCCCAAATTAAGCCTGAGTGCCTTCCACATCCCCCCCTAGGCGCTGTATAATCCTCCGGGTTTAGCGCTTCCCCCTTGATTATAATAATAATAATAATACAAATTACGATATTATGTAAATCAGAAAAAAGGTGAAAATATAAACCAAAAACTGGTTGATTCATGCAACCTAGTGTTTTTAACACACTGGCCATTTCCCACTGAGGCAGGGTGACCAAAAACAAAGTTTCACCATCATTCACACTATCACTATCTTGCCAGAGGTACACAGATATGACAGTTTGGAAGTCACTCTAAACAGCAAATATCCCTAACCCCTCCTTTAGAGTGCAGGCACTATACTTCCCACCTCCAGGACTCAAGTCTGGCTAACTGGTTTCCCTAAATCTCTTCACAAAATATTACCTTGCTCATGCTCCAGCAGCTTGTCAAGTCCCAAAAAACCACTCATCCCCACTCACTCCTATCTAACACACTCATACATGCCTGCTATATATCCAAGCCCCTAGAACACAAAACCTTCTTTGCCACTTTTCAAGGAAATACCACAAAACGGCCCATAAAGAGCAAGGTTTCCCTTGCTTTATATGGGCTCAGTGCAAATTCACTTTTATATAACATCCCATTTCCATTGATAAATTTGTATGTGGTATATATTAATTTTTTTTTTTTTTTTCAACAAGTCGGCCGTCTCCCACCAAGGCAGGGTGACCCAAAAAAGAAAGAAAATCCCCAAAAAGAAAATACTTTCATCATCATTCAACACTTTCACCACACTCGCACATTATCACTGTTTTTGCAGAGGTGCTCAGAATACAACAGTCTAGAAGCATACACATATAAAGATACACAACATATCCCTCCAAACTGCCAATATTAATATATGTGATTATTACAGCTTGCAAAATGAACTAAGATTCTTATGCAGAATATTTCCTGCATCTACTGCAATAAAGCATGGGACACCTATACTGTAACTGGAGGAACTTTAACTTCACCAACTTAAGAAATGACATTGGCCAAAGAAACAGACTTCAAGAAAAAGATGAATACTTTGCATTGGTGTTCAGACAATGCAAGGAATTTCACAATTTACTGTGAGTTCTAACCCTACCCATACCATGGCAAAATCATAAAATTAAACAAAAAAATAGATATAGATGATTTATGTGTACATCCAAAAACAAAATAAAATAAACTGAACAATGTAGATGTGGCACTAAGAGCGTAGCCCCATTCCTGTAATGACAAACTGGTAATCATAATTAGGGTGGGCACTCACTCTAACAATGATCTTCTCTGAGGCATGGGCAGCAATGGGATATGCATTGTCTCCGCAGTGAGCTTTGAGTGCCACTACTAGATAGAAGTATCGTTGGTCTGGGTTTGGCTTGCCCTTTTTGCGCATATTGTTGCTGGTGGTTTCAGAAAAATGTAGACGGCCTACTGTGATCTTGCTCATTTGATCGTTCTTCAGGTCAACTCTGTGGTGAGAAAGAGGAGAAAAATATACACTCCCGTACACTTAAAGGATGTTCATTACAATGTATATTTCAGTACAAAAACTATCCCACGAATACATGCGATTCCTGATTTGCATGCTTCAATTACTGTATTCAGTGTTTTTACAGAAAAGCCAACCATGACTAGCTTTGATTATTCAGGTTTTTTGTGGTGCTCATTTTTTTCTTAGTGTTGGTATATGAGCCTAAACTTATGAACATCAGTAATAAATCAGATTAGAGCTATATTTAGATATGGCCTTTGAAACACAAAAAGTGCCCGAATCTACAACAAAACTGATTAACCCTTTGAGGGTTTCGGCCGTACTAGTACGGCTTACGACCCAAGGTTTTTGATGTACTAGTATGCCTAAATTCTAGCGCCCTCAAATCTAGTGGGAGAAAGCTCGTAGGCCTACATATGAAACGAATGGGTCTATGTGGTCAGTGTGCACAGTATAAAAAAAATCCTGCAGCACACAGTGCATAATGAGAAAAAAAAAACTGACCGTTTTTTTGGAATAAAACAGCGACTTTGCACTGTATTTTCATACGGTATTTATTGTTGTATTCTAGTTTTCTTGGTCTCATTTTATAGAATGGAAGGCATATTACAGAAATTGAGATGATTTTGACTGGTTTTACAATGAAAAGTACCTTGAAATTGAGCTCAAAGTAGCAGAAATGTTCAATTTTTACCAAAGTTCAAAAGTAAACAAATCATGCCAAGCGTCCAATACACGTCAACTGGTGAGTCTAATATTCTTTTGCAAGTGCGCCAATATTATTTATACCATTTTTTACACTAATGCAGTAGTCTGCATAACAGTAAATCTTCTATTTTTTGTGAGAATAAAAATTCAAAGTGGAAAGCAAAAGAATGTAAGAGGGGCCTTGAGACGTGACTAATGAACAGAGGAAATGTCATTTTAGTGCCAGGAATGTCTTTCTTGTTTATTCTGGACCCTATTCGGAAATTGGCATCTTTTGAAATTTGTGTGAAATTGGCAAAATTGCTAAATTCTGACCACTGTACTGGATAGTTGAAATTGGTAAATGGGTGGTTTCTTGCACTCATTCGATAGAAAAAATGGAGTTCTAGCAAAATATTCATGTTTTTTGTCAACTAGTACAGTGGAATTGGCCGAAAATGAGGCTCAAAGTGGGCAAAATTGCCGATGAGTAAACATCGCCGAGACCGCTAACTTCGCGAGAGCATAATTCCGTAAGTTTTCCATAAAATTTCATACTTTTGGTGTCATTATGATAGGGAAAATATTCTCTATATTTTCCTAAGAAAAAATTATTTTTTTTTTTTAATTTGGCCGACCCTGAGAATGAGTCTCGGAGAGGGCCTGTCGACCCTCAAAGGGTTAAAGACACTATTCAGTATTATTCATGAATTCTAAATTCACTAGAATCTCTAGGAAATTTACTCTCTATAACCCCTTGTGTACCAGAGGGAAGTACATTCCAGAACTTCTTACTCTTGGCAAGTAGCACAGAACAGATAAGAAAATAAATTCAAAGGCAGATGAAAGATAAAGTGCCATTGAAAAGCATCTCCTACCTCACTTCATTTAACTACCGTACATGGGTCAGTAGGCCTGTTTGCAGTGTCCTTCTTTCTTATGTTCTAATGTAGATTAACTTATGAAATCATTGAGAAGGCATTACTCTAATTATTATTATTATTAACACACTGGCCGATTCCCACCAAGGCAGGGTGGCCCGAAAAAGAAAAACTTTCACCATCATTCACTCCATCACTGTCTTGCCAGAAGGGTGCTTTACACTACAGTTTAAACTGCAACATTAACACCCCTCCTTCAGAGTGCAGGCACTGTACTTCCCATCTCCAGGACTCAAGTCCTATCAAACACGCTCACGCATGCCCGCTGGAAGTCCAAGCCCCTCGCACACAAAACCTCCTTTACCCCCTCCCTCCAACCTTTCCTAGGCCGACCCCTACCCCGCCTTCCTTCCACTACAGACTGATACACTCTTGAAGTCATTCTGTTTCGCTCCATCTCTCTACATGTCCAGAACCACCTCAACAACCCTTCCTCAGCCCTCTGGACAACAGTTTTGGTAACCCTGCATCTCCTCCTAACTTCCAAACTACGAATTCTCTGCATTATATTCACACCACACATTGCCCTCAGACATGACATCTCCACTGCCTCCAGCCTTCTCCTCGCTGCAACATTCATCACCCATGCTTCACACCCATATAAGAGCGTTGGTAAAACTATACTCTCATACATTCCCCTCTTTGCCTCCAAGGACAAAGTTCTTTGTCTCCACAGACTCCTAAGTGCACCACTCACTCTTTCCCCCTCATCAATTCTATGATTCACCTCATCTTTCATAGACCCATCCGCTGACACGTCCACTCCCAAATATCTGAATACATTCACCTCCTCCATACTCTCTCCCTCCAATCTGATATCCAATCTTTCATCACCTAATCTTTTTGTTATCCTCATAACCTACTATCCTGTATTCACTTTTAATTTTCTTCTTTTGCATACCCTACCAAATTCATCCACCAACCTCTGCAACTTCTCTTCAGAATCTCCCAAGAGCACAGTGTCATCAGCAAAGAGCAACTGTGACAACTCCCACTTTGTGTGATTCTTTATCTTTTAACTCCATGCCTCTTGCCAAGACCCTCGCATTTACTTCTCTTACAACCCCATCTATAAATGTATTAAACAACCACGGTGACATCACACATCCTTGTCTAAGGCCTACTTTTACTGGGAAATAATCTCCCTCTTTCCTACATACTCTAACTTGAGCCTCACTATCCTCGTAAAAACTCTTCACTGCTTTCAGTAACCTACCTCCTACACCATACACCTGCAACATCTGCCACATTGCCCCCCTATCCACCCTGTCATACGCCTTTTCCAAATCCATAAATGCCACAAAAACCTCTTTAGCTTTATCTAAATACTGTTCACTTATATGTTTCACTGTAAACACCTGGTCCACACACCCCCTACCTTTCCTAAAGCCTCCTTGTTCGTCTGCTATCCTATTCTCCGTCTTACTCTTAATTCTTTCAATAATAACTCTACCATACACAGGTATACTCAACAGGTATACTCAGCAGGTATACTCAACAGACTTATCCCCCTATAATTTTTGCACTCTCTTTTGTCCCCTTTGCCTTTATACAAAGGAACTATGCATGCTCTCTGCCAATCCCTAGGTACCTTACCCTCTTCCATACATTTATTAAATAATAGCACCAACCACTCCAAAATTATATCCCCACCTGCTTTTAACATTTCTATCTTATCCCATCAATCCCGGCTGCCTTACCCCCTTTCATTTTACCTACTGCCTCACGAACTTCCCCCACACTCACAACTGGCTCTTCCTCACTCCTACAAGATGTTATTCTTCCTTGCCCTATACACGAAATCACAGCTTCCCTATCTTCATCAACATTTAACAATTCCTCAAAATATTCCTTCCATCTTCCCAATACCTCTAACTCTCCATTTAATAATTCTCCTCTCCTAGTTTTAACTGACAAATCCATTTGTTCTCTAGGCTTCCTTAACTTGTTAATCTCACTCCAAAACTTTTTCTTATTTTCAACAAAATTTGTTGATAACATCTCACCCACTCTCTCATTTGCTCTCTTTTTACATTGCTTCACCACTCTCTTAACCTCTCTCTTTTTCTCCATATACTCTTCCCTCCTTGCATCACTTCTACTTTGTAAAAACTTCTCATATGCTAACTTTTTCTCCCTTACTACTCTCTTTACATCATCATTCCACCAATCGCTCCTCTTCCCTCTCGCACCCACTTTCCTGTAACCACAAACTTCTGCTGAACACTCTAACACTACATTTTTAAACCTATCCCATACCTCTTTGACCCCATTGCCTATGCTCTTATTAGCCCATCTATCCTCCAATAGCTGTTTATATCTTATCCTAACTGCCTCCTCTTTTAGTTTATAAACCTTCACCTCTCTCTTCCCTGATGCTTCTATTCTCCTTGTATCCCATCTACCTTTTACTCTCGGTGTAGCTACAACTAAAAAGTGATCTGATATATCTGTGGCCCCTCTATAAACATGTACATCCTGGTCTACTCAACAGTCTTTGATCTACCAATACATAATCCAGCAAACTACTGTCATTTCGCCCTACATCATATCTTGTATACTTATTTATCCTCTTTTTCTTAAAATATGTATTACCTATAACTAAACCCCTTTCTATGCAAAGTTCAATCAAAGGGTTCCCATTATCATTTACACCTGGCACCCCAAACTTACCTACCACACCCTCTCTAAAAGTTTCTCCTACTTTAGCATTCAGGTCCCCTACCACAATTACTCTCTCACTTGGTTCAAAGGTTCCTATACATTCACTTAACATCTCCCAAAATCTCTCTCTCTCTACATTCCTCTCTTCTCCAGGTGCATACACGCTTATTATGACCCACTTTTCGCATCCAACCTTTACTTTAATCCACATAATCCTTGAATTTACACATTCATATTCTCTTTTCTCCTTCCATAACTGATCCTTCAACATTACTGCTACCCCTAAATTTGATTCATTTTGCATCTTAACAATTTTTATGTTAAAGCAGACACCTACTGTACAGGGTGAAAGGCCTTCTTGCTTCTGTCACTTTGACTCTGCTCCACACGTATTACTTGCGACGGTGACTCAGTTTTGACACCAAAGAAGTGCACAAAAAAGCGGTCCACCTTCTGCAGGCCCTCTGGACTCTTCACAAACACAGGCTCACCAGATGCCTGTCAGGAGAGGCACATGTGAACTTCAATGATAGAAAAGCTAACACAATCTATTCTGCTACTAAGAAAAGATAAAGATGCTTATTGTCTTAATTAAATAACAAAGATTACATTGAATGGTTTTACATTTTGTATGGTTACAGGTTGGTTACAGATTTAGGAAAACATTTATTACATATTCTAAGAAAAGTGCATTATGTACAGTATTATGGGCACACTAATTCTAGGCCTTAAAAGTTATTTAATTATAGTTCTAACATATATAATTAGGCTTTATGTGACAAATCAACATGGATAATTTTATACACAATATCATAGTTAGGGATTAGTTTAAAAATGACATACAACAGTTGACTAAGTAAGGTTAGTCTGAGAAAAGATTATGACAATTTTTTTTTTTAGAGTACATATGTATAAGATTCTCTTCACAAGAGCAGCATAAAGGATAAGAGATGGTAGAGATAATGATTGTAGCATATGACTGCAAGCTGACAACTGGACAGGAAGGTGTATTTCATTAGATTAAGGGATATTTTTACACAATATTCTTGAAGCAGTAGGCAGATAGAGGTGTTTTAGAATCTTCTGAAAGCGAGTTCCATAATTTTGGGCCTTTCATGAACATGGAATTCCAAGTTAGGGTGAGTTAAACACGTGCAATGTGTCTCATAGCTCAATCGTTAGTGCACTCATCTCACACACTGAGGTTCGAGGATTGATCCCCCGGTATAGCTGGAAAACATTGTTTTCATAAGACACCTGCTGTCCCTGTTCACCCATCAGTAAAATGGTAACCTAGGTGTTAGTTGACTGGTGTGGGTCACATCCTGAGACAAAATTGACTTAATTTGCCTGAAATGCTCTGCATAACAAGTGGCTTTCTATAAAGTAGTATGTCACTGATGTCAGCTAAGCCTGTATACCTTGTACATGTACTTGTAGAAATAGATATTATTATTAATATTATTATTATTATGGCAATGTATTCTACTGCAGTTTTCTAGGAAGAGTTTTAGGTCTGGGTATGAATTTTTGTCCTGTACATAAAGTATGCACAACAGAATGTTTGAATGCTTTGTATAACGTGTAAATTTAAACTTTGGAATAGCAGGGGTGTGTGTTACCTAGGACAAGATTAAGTAATTATTCTCACAGTAGATTTCTGCTGTGTTATGACAGATTTAAGGTGATTCACCATTGCAGATACCTTGCATACATGCCATGGGTGAGGTGCATAGTAGAGGGTGAGTAATGATGTTTGCAGTACATGCTGTATTTCTGAGAATGCCAGTATTTCTGGAAATTTTCTTAGAAACATGCTAAATGTGTGTATTAAATTTTAGTTTCCTGTGAGGGTGTATACCTAGAAATTTCCCCCCACATCTTTCCTTTCAATACATGTATTATATATCTTAATGTTTAATGAAATATTTTTGGCTCTGATCTTAAACATCATGTAGAATATCTTATCTACATTGAGCGTGAATTTGTTGTCATCCAGGTAGACATCTTTATAAGCTCAATGGAATCTGCACTTGATATATGAAAAGTGATGTCAGTGATGTCATCTGCAAACAGAATTCATTTAAGCTCCTGAGATGCATCAGAAAGGTCACTGACATAGATGAGGAACCACAAAGAGCCTATGACACTATCCATAGGTACACCTATGTTTTAAATTCAAAGTGGTTTTTGTAATAGAGAATTCCATACACCAACTGTTCTGAGATAGGAAAACCAACACAGCAACTATTTAGTTGATTGGAGGACCTACACACGTATAAATAAGAATTTACAATATGTGATTGGAGGATTCAAAAGAAAGTTGATATTTGATTACAAGACACATGAAGTATAATAGATATTGTGTAAATTTAGTTGTGAACCCATACAGGCATTAATTTTAACAAATTCAGACTACAACAAAATTAATATTTAGATGGTTTTCCCAGTTAAAAGATTAATATCATGCATTTAAACAATGCAGTACCCACAATGAATGCACTTGGCAAGAAGTTCATGGGTGATGAGTTCACAGATACCAAACTTAGGTTTATATGTACTAAAATAAAGGTGCAATTTCTAGACCCCCAGGGCTTTCATATCCAGATATAATATTAATCTAACATTTTATGTACTATTTTTAGTCTTTTGTATTACCTGTATTTAGCATTTTTTCCAATAATACTGATAATACTTCACCAATAATATCCTAGAGTAGGTGTCAGCTCATGCTTGAACACAGTAGTCAAGATGACAGTTTTTTGTCCTCATATTCAATATGCTTGATTATTCCTAGACTATGGTTAGCTCTTTTCACTGATATTCCTACATGCATCACTGACTTAATGATTGATGAAATATTACACCAAAGATGCTTTTCTTCTATGATGGTAGAAAGATAATGATCCCACTACAGTAACTGTGATACAAGTTGCATCTCACTAGATTACATTTCAGTATAATGGATAGCATTTCCCAGTTTGTTAACTAGTTGTCAAGTTCAATGAAGTCTTTCCTTCATCATAGGAACTGGGAACTTAGTTTGAATATATTGTTCAAAAATGTATGTTTTACATAATCTAAATTTGGCTTAGCATCACTTATCTCTAGAATGAAACACTGCCACTTCAGTGTATCATTACACATTATACTTTAGTAGTATTATTCTGAAATCAGGACCTGGTCCAAACAGCTGTCCTCAGGTGAGATTTGCGACATGTGTAACTTTGCAGAGTAATAGAAATTAACTTCTACAAAGTCAAGGATTTAATTACCTTCAAAGTGATATTTAAATATAGTAGCATGGCTGTTTGTTGCTGGATGCAGACAGTTCAAGGCAGATGCCTTGAACTGGATACATCCAGTTCAAGGATGCCTAATTCAAAGAACTGGACCTAGCCTTCTCCTCCTAAGATCAATCCTAATTACCCCCACCCATGTTATTTCCCTGGTGTTATATTACCTTTACCGTTCAGGACTTGCCCACGAATATAATATGGATAGACTTGGATACCACAAAACCTAGAGATGAGTATTCTAGCAAAGTTGAAAAATATTGAGTCTATATATGGATGATTACCCAGATGGTGACTTACAGGGTATTGTACCAACATGAACAAGCATGATGACTTAAAAGAGAGTGAACTAGACATGAGAGGGTAACCTGGAAGGTACTGACCTGGACATGAACAGTGACTTGGAAGTGGTTCTTTTTCTGGCAAACAAAAGCTTCATCTGGGTTAGAGAAGTTGAAACCTTTATCAGCATCTACTCGGAAGGTTGGCAGTGGTCTGTTTGTGAAGAAACAAACTGACCAGGTCAAAATTAACTCTAGATTATATTTCATTCACACACACACACACACATGCACAGCACACACACACACACACACGAAAGCAATTGAAAGCATCATGAAAGCAATAGGAGAAGACGACATGACCCAGCTGGAAAATTTTCGGAGAATAGGGGGGTTTGTAAAAAAAAGAACCCGGCCAGTGAAAGTGACCTTCAAGGCAGAAGCGACTCAGAACAGGATCCTGCAGGAGAAAGCACGATTAAGGGACATGCCGGCATACAGGAAGGTGTATCTCGACCACGACAGAACACAAGAAGAAAGGCAGAAACTGAGAGAAATGGTACAAAGGCGAAAGGAGGAAAGAGAGGGGATGGAGAAGACAGACAGGAGATCCCAGACCCAGGAAGAAGTTCAAATACAGCCTCCCTCACAACTTCCTATAGAAGCCTCCCAACCAGGTCAACCCCAGTGCAACCAAACACTCTAAATCAAAACACCCATGCCACATCCAATGCCCCCACCCACTACATTACAAACTCCACCCTCACAGCAACAACCCATAGTTCCTTACCAGGTCTCCCACTTCCCCAACCCCAATATACCTCCCAGACCACAGTCTTAGAAAAGAAGTTGAAGGTGTGGTATACAAATGCAGATGGAATAACAAACAAGTATGAGGAATGGCACAAAAGAATCAAAGAGACATCCCCAGACATAATAGCACTCACAGAAACAAAACTCACCAGAATAATAACAGATTCAATCTTTCCATCCGGATACCAAATCCTCGGGAAAGACAGAGGGAGGAGAGGGGGAGGAGGAGTTGCACTGCTCATTAAAAACCAGTGGGATTTTGAGAAAATGGAAGGAATGGATGGCATGGGCGAAAGGGACTACTTAGTAGGAACAATCCAGTCTGAGGGACATAAGGTGATAATTGCAGTAATGTACAACCCACCACAGAACTGCAGGAGGCCAAGAGAAGAATACGATGAGAGCAACAGAGCAATGAAGCAATGATCGACACACTAGCCGAGGTGGCCAGGAGAGCACACATGGGGGGAGCAAAGTTACTAGTTATGGGTGATTTCAATCACAAGGAGATTGACTGGGAAAACCTGGAGCCCCATGGAGGTCCCAAAACATGGAGAGCCAAGATGATGGATGGTGGTATGGAAACCTCATGCATCAACATGTTAGAGGCACTACTCAGAGAGAGAGGAGAGGTTGAACCAGCAAGCTGGACCTTGGATTCACGATGAGTAGTTCGGGACAATCGAGGGGTATCATGTATGAATAGGCCCTGGGAGTCTAGTGATTCCACTTGTGGTTCTGTTGCTTCGGACTACATAGTTGAGCTCCTAGGTGGAGAGAGTAGCAGGAATAGGCTGGGGAAAAAACAAATACAAATAGGGGGGAATTACTCAGGATGAGGAAACTTCCTTCAAGACATTCAGTGGGAGAGGGAACTGGACAGGAGAAAAACCTGTACAAGAAATGATGATGGACTATGTAGCAACAAATGCCAAGGGAGGCAGAGAGGGAGAGGTTTGTTCCCAAGGGAAACAGAAATAATGGGAAAGACAGAACGAGTCCTTGGTTCACCCAAAGGTTGTAGGGCGGCAAAAACTAAGGTGTACTAGACAATGGAAAAGGTACAGAAGACAGAGAACTCAGGAAATAAACGAAATCAGCTCGAAAAGAGCCAGAAACGAATATGCCACAGATAAGAAGGGAGGCTAAGAGCAATATGAAAATGACAAGCATCAAAAAAGTAAAAGACTGACCCGAAGTGTTTGTACAGCCACATCAGGCTGGAAATCAAACAGTCATGGACCAGGGTAATCAGACTGAGGAAGGGGTGATGGGCCAATTCTCAAGAAACGTCCAAGAGGTATGTCAGGAGCTCAATCAAGATTTAAAGAGGTTAGTTACTGTGGAAACCAGTAGACTCCAGGAAATCATAACAGACAAGGGGGCAACAGCAAGTGCTGGATGAGGTACATATAACCAAGGAGGAGGTTGAAGAATGCTGCTATGCGCACTTGAACAACCTCAAAAGGCGGTGGGACAGACAACATCTCTCCATGGGTCCTTTAAAAGAGCGGAGGGGGGCCAGAGATATTGTGTGAGCCATATTACAAAGATCTCAACACATCATTTGAAAACTGGGCAACTCCCTGAGGTATGGATAATGGCAAATGTGTCCCAATTTTTAAAAAGGGAGACAGCAGAGGCACTAAACTACGAAGACCTGTATTCACAAGTGTATAGTATGCAAGGTCATGGAGAAGATCATCAGGGGGAGAGTGGTGGAGGCACCTGTTGAAAGAAACAAGGTGTATAATTGACAACCAGCACGGTTTCAGGGAAGGAAATCCTGGGTCACAAACCTACTAGAGTTTTTTGACAAGGTGACAGAAGTAAGACAAGAGAGTGAGGGGTGGATCGACTGCATATTTTTCGGACTGCAAGATGGCCTTCGACACAGTTCCTCACAAGAGGTTACTGCAAAAGCTAGAGGAATCAGCACACATACAGGAAAGTCACTGAATGGATCAGAGAAATTACCTGACAGAGGAGGCAAACAACGAGTATGGTACGCGACGAGGTGTCAGAGTGGGCGCCTGTGACAAGGCGGGTTTCCACAGGGGTCAGTCCTAGGACTGTGCTGTTCTGGGATATGGGAAACGACCATAACGGGAAGGATAGACTCAGAAAGTGTTCCTTGTTTGCAGGATGATGCGAAGTTAAGAGAAGAATCAATCGAGATGAGGCATAGGCAGAGACTACAAAGGACTGGACTGGCTAAAGCTGGTCCTGCAACTGGCTCCTTGAATTTAACCCTGCAAATGCAAAGTCATGAAGATTTGGGGGAAGGGCAAAGAAGACTGCAGACACAATATAAGTTTACGATGGCCAAAGACTGCAAAGACCTCACTCAAGGAAAAAGTCTGGGGGTGGGATAACAACGCAGCCATATCTCTGAGGCGAACATCAATCAGATAACTGCTGGCAAGCAAAAGGGCGCCTGGCAAAACCTCGTAGTGTCGATACTCAGTAAGGATTCGTTTAAAGGACTCTGTATACATTTGGTCAGGCCCATACTGGGTATGCAGCACCAGTTTGGAATCACACTAGTCAAGCATGTCATGAAATTAGAGAAGTGACAAAGGTTTGCAAACAAGACCTAGTCCCAGAGCTACGGGATTGTCCTACGAAGAATAGGTTAGGGAATCGGCCCTGACGACACTGGAGGACAGGTGGGTCAGGGAGAATGATTAACGACTTATATAATAATGCGCGGATTAGACAAGGTGGACAAGAAAAACGGGATCTGTTCCAGAGAAGGGTCACAGACACAAGAGGTCACTGTTGGAGTTGAAGGACTCAGATGAATAAATGGGATGTTAGGAAGTTTTCTCAGTCATAGAGTGGTCAGGCCCATGGAATAGCCCAGAAAGTGACGTAGTGGAGGCGGGGGGGAACCATAAATAGTTTTAGGCGGGTTGGATGAGCTCATGGGGCAGGGATAGAGAGAGAGAGGACCTTGTAGCAATCAGCGAAGAGCAGGGCGGGGCTCAGGAGCTGTGACGCGACCCCTGCACCACATATAGGTGAGTACCAATAGGTGAGTACACATGTCTCTGACATTGTATTGTGTGCAAGTCATGCAGAAAATTATCAGGAGGAGAGTGGTTCAACACCTGGAATGGAAAACAATCCGATTATAAATGAAAACCAGCAGGGTTCATGGGAAGGCAAATCCTGTATCACAAACTCTGGAGTTTTATGACAAGGTAACAAAAGTAAGACACGAGAGAGAAGGGGTGGGTAGATTGCGTTTTCATAGACTGCAGAAGGGCTTTGACACAGTTCCCACATGAGATTATGTGCTAGAAGCTGGAGGATTCAGGCGTCATGTAAAAGGGAGGGCACTGCAATGGATATAAGGGATACCCTGACGGGAGGCAGCAAGAGTCATGGTACGTGAAGGAGGTATCACAGTGGGCGCCTGTTACGAGCGGGGGATGGTTCCCACTGGGTTCAGTTCTTGCGACCACGTGCTATTTTTTGATTATATGTGAACGACATGTTGGAAGGGAATAGACTCTGAAGTGTCCTGTTGCAGTTGACGTGAATGGATGAAGAAGAATTAAAATCGGACGAGGATGGGCAGGACTGCATAAAAGAGACCTGGACAGTGGAATGTGGTCCAGTATCTGGCCTTCTCGAATTTTTAATCCAGCCAATGCAAAGTCAGGAAGATTGGGGTTGGGCAAAGATGACCGCAGACAGAGTACAGGCTAGGTGGACAAAGACTCAGACCTCAACTCAGGGAGAAAGAGAATGACCTTGGGGAGACCATAAACCGAGCACATCACGGAGGCACACATCACCAAAATAACTGCTGCAGCATTCGGGGCCTGGGATACCTGAGAAGAGCGTTCCTGATTACCATTAATAAGGAATAGTTCAAGACACTGTACACTGGTGTATGTTAGGCCCATACTGGGTATGCAGCCACCAGTCTGGAACCCACCACCTGGTCAAGCACAGTAGAAGTTAGAGAAAGTACAAAGGTTTGCAACAAGGGCTTGTCCAGAGCTCATGGGAATGTCGTACGGGAAAGTTATGGGAAAGCGGACTGACGACACTGGAGGCCAGGAGGGTCAGGGGAGGGATGGAGACATGGATAACGGACATACAAAATACTGCGCGGGAATAGACGCAAGGTGGACAAAGGACAGGATGTTTCAGAGATGGGACCACAGAACAAGAGGTCACAATTGGAAGTGAAGACTCAGATGAATCAAAGGGAGTGTTATGTCAGTTTCTTCGTCATAGAGTAGTCAAGCGTGGAATACTGAAAGTGAAGTAGTGGAGGCGGGAACCATACATTGTTTTAAGGCGAGGTATGATAAAGCTTCATGGAGCAGGGATGGGGAGGGTGGGAGAGAGAGGGACCTAGTAGCAATCAGTGAGAGGCGGGGCCAGGAGCTTTGAATCGACCCCGCAAAACCACAAATAGGTGAGTACAAATAGGTATGTACTACTACACACAGTGTGGGACTGTGAACAAGCGGGGTTCCACAGGGATTCATTCCTAGGGCCTGTGCTGTTTTGGTATATGTGAATGAACATAACGGAAGGGAGACTCAGAAGTGTCCTTGTTCGCAGATGATGTGAAGTTAATGAGAAAGATCAATCGGATGAGGATCAGGCAGGACTACAAGAGACCTGGACAGGCTACAGTCCTGGTCCAGCAACGGGCTCCTTGAGTTTACCCTGCCAAATGCAAAAGTCATGAAGATTGGGGGAAGGGCAAGAAGACGCAGACAGACACAATATAGTTAGATGGCAAAGTCTCTGCAAACCTCACTCAAGGAAAAAGATCTGGGGTGGCGAGTGAGTATAACACAGAGCATATCTCATGAGGCGCACATCATCAGATAACTGATGCAGATACGGGGACTGGGCAAACCTATGGATAGCGTTCCGATACCTCAGTAAAGGGATTCGTTCATGACTCCGTATACCATTTACGTCAGGCCCATACTGGAGGATGCGCACCAGTTTGGAATCACAACCAGAGTCAAGCATGTCTAGAAATTAGAGAAAGTTGCAAAGGTTGCAAACTAAGAATAGTCCCAGAGTACGGGGATTGTCCTACGAAGAAAAGGTTGAGGGAAATCGGCTTGACGACACTGGTGGCCAGGAGGGTCAGGGGAGACATGATAACGACATATAAAAATACTGCGCAGAAAGACGAGGTGGTCAAAGACTGGGATGTTCCAGAGATGGGACACAGACACAAGAGGTCACAATTGGAAGTGAAGAACTCAGATGAATCAATGGGATGTTAGAAGGATTTCTTCAGTCATAGAGTAGTCAAGACATGGAATAGCCTAGAAAGTGAAGTAGTGGAGCGGGGGGAACCCATTACATTGTTTTAAGCGGGGTAATGAATTAAGTCAGGGAGCAGGGAGAGAGAGGATCCTAGTTGCAATCAGTGAAGAGGCAGGGCAGGAGCTATGATTCGGACCCCTGCAACTACAAATAGAGGTGAGCCACACACACACACCACAAACACAAACACACACAACTACACACACACGCGCGCAGCGCGCCACACACACACACACACACACCACACACACACACACATCACACACACACACAAACACAACACACACACACACACACACTAACACCACACACACAAAGGTGAGGCAAGGAGCTGTGACTCGGCCCCTGCAACCACAAATAGGTGAGTCAATTGACACGCACTCTCTCTCTCTCATTCCTCATCTAGACACCTTCAAAGTTGGTGCTTTAATGCTAGCAAAGAGGTCTTGATTCAAGGAATTGGAGTTGCCCTTCCCTTGAATTGAATCTAATTACTACCTCCTATTATTCAGGCACTGCATAAGCCTTACAAATATAGCGCTTCCCAAAGAATATACTAATAATACTCACTCAGGCATGAGCTAACAAGTTCTTGAACATAAATGTGGACTCACAATTCTTTGAGGGCAGAGTCCAGTCAGAGGGTGGACCAGGAGTGCTCTGGAATTTGTGTCATGGAAGCGGATGACACTGGTAAGATGCATCAAGCGGAACGGCACCCACTTGTCGAGGTCCATGGTGTTGTACTCGTCCTCCTCAGAGTAGGACGTCACTGCCACATTAGGCCCCAGATGGTTTGTCACTCCCTGATCTGTGGAGGATGCAACATACTGAGTGGCAGAAAATGAGGAAGTGCCAGTGGATTAGGGTTTAGGCAACTTTGTCCTATGGAGGAAGTGGCAGGATAGTTGATGGAGCCAAGGATTGACGCAGTGTAAAGAGGAGAGGGAGGAATGAGTGGGTTTGGCCCCCAGCTGCCTACTCCATCCCAGATTACAAAGAGGTGAGTGATGGAGTAATGGCTAAGTGCCGAGCAAGGTAATTCTGAGTGCACTGTGTTATATCCAATGATGTTAATAAAATAAAGCATTTAATATGATCCCAGTCTAATAGAGATCCACCTTCATATTACACTGTATTGTCTTCTGTATATTAATTATAATCACAAAAATATATTGCTAAAAATTCTAAGCTTTTTGAATACCCTTAGATCACAAACAGTGTTAATGCAAGTACGTACATAAATCTTCCCTAATCATGAAAAAAAAATAATGTTTTACAAAGGAAAAGTTAAAATAAGAGCCAATTAGGTAAAGTTAAATTATGAGGGATTGAGGGTATGAGGAAGATTAGATCTGGAAGAGCTGAGGAAGATTTTTACTCAGGGGAACTTAAGGAAGGATTATCCTCAGGGGAACTAAGGAAGATTATCTCAGGGGATGAGGAAAGACTCTAAATAAAGGAGTGGAGAAATTATATCTAGAGGAGCTGAGAGAGATTACATCTAGATCAGCTGAGAAAGATTATATCTATAGCTGAAGGAGATTAGATTGAGAAGAGCTGAGAAAGATTATATCTAGAAGAGCTAAGGAAGATTACATCTGGAGGAGCTGAGGAAGATTCTCAATGAAGAAGCTGAGAAAATTATATCTACAGATGAGGAGGATTAGATCTAGAGGAGCTAAGGAAGATTCTCAATAAAGGAGCTAGATAAGATAAGATTTTGTTCAGCTTTTTAACCCCGGAGGGTTAGCCACCCAGGATAACCCAAGAAAGTCAGTGCGTCATCGAGGACTAACTTATTTCCATTGTGGTCCTTAATCTTGTCCCCCAGGATGCGACCCACACCAGTCGACTAACACCCAGGTACCTATTTGCTGCTAGGTGAACAGGACAACAGGTGTAAGGAAACGTGTCGAAATGTTTCCACCCGCCGGGAATCGAACCCGGGCCCTCCGTGTGTGAAGCGGGGAGCTTTGCACCAGGCCACCAGGTGGGGCATGACGGAAACTTTTATCTATAAGGAGTGTGGAAGCTGAATCTAGAAGAAACTAAGAAAGATTCTAAATAAAGTCTGAGAAAAAATTATCTAGATGGGATGAGGAAGACTGATCTAGAGATGAGAAAGACTTGATCTAGAGGAGCTCAGGAAGTTTCTAAATAAAGCTGAGGAAAATTATATCTAGAGGAGCTGAGGTGGAAAGACTAGATCTAGAGGAGCTGAGGAAGACTAGATCTTGAGGAGCTGAGGAAATAGGATCTAGAGGACTGAGGAAGACTGATCTAGAGGAGCTGAGAGAAGGACTAGATCGTTAGGTGCAGCTGAGGAAATTCTAAATAAGCTGAGGAAAAAATATATTAATGAGGACGCTGAGAATGACGAGATACTAGAGATGTGAGAAAGACTTGATCTAGAGATGCAGAGAACGAATTCACAAAAGATTACGTAAAGAAAAGATGTCATCACAAAAGATTCGTGTAAATCAGAAGTAATGAGCTAAAAGTTAATGAAGTAGATTTTTAATAGCCAGAGAAACTTAAAATATGGGAATTTATATATTAAATACGTTAATAATGTAAATAATTTTATAGAATGAAAAAAAAATTGAATTGGTGGTTCAGAAAAGTGTAATATATTAATAATAAAAGTGGAAGTTTGGGGTATAAATGGCTTCAGTACGATACTGGATTTTTCATTGTTGTTATCAAAATCACAAAATCGACATCATGCCTAACCTTCTAGGGGAGGGGTAGGTGCCTGAGCCCGAGCCTTTAGCTATTAAGACTGCTATTTCCATTAGCCCTCTTGGGGCGGGGATGGCCAGACACAGAAGGCCCTAGCTTGTGGCTAGGCCTGGGGACAGTTGGTCCCAAGATGAGGTGGTACTGTGCCTCTCCCATGGGTGACTTAGGTCTCAGAACATCCTAAAGAGGGAGCCAGGCGCGGGCCACACTTTGAAAAAGGCCCGGGCCGGGGAATAACGGCGAAATCTTTAATAATTTAATAATAATAAAAATCAAAGGGGCACTAATACTGGTCGCTACCCTGATTCAATACGGTACTGTACAGTAATTTTTACAAGAGGTTGACAAACAAGAGCCAGGATTCATTACGTTCAGAATTAAAATTCAAGGTTGTGGCTTGCATTGAAAAAGTATAATAGAAAACGGGAGGCAAATTTAAAAACTGGTTATTTATGATCCAACGAAAATGGGAAGAAAACTAATGTTGTTGCTTTTAGGAGGTAAACATGACTGAGGAAGGTAATTATTAGTTATTTTAAGCCATATTAAGGATAATACAAAAAGGGAATGACAATCTGGATCTTAGTTTTAAAGACGTAACAAAAAATTTAATGTTCTCAACACATATGCTGCTATGTATGATAATCTATGTAACTGTATGCTGCTATGTATGATAATCTATGTAACTGTATGCTGCTATGTATGATAATCTATGTAACTGTATGCTGCTATGTATGATAATCTATGTAACTGTATTTGTGTATACCTGAATAAACTTACTTGATTTCAAAAAAGCATAAGAAAATGGGAAATACTGACTTAAGGTCAACTTTTAAACATGAACACATTAAGTGCTCAACCTGTGTGGGTGATTCAGCCCAAGGAGTGCTACATGCTCGAACCTCTGTCCACTGATCTTTAAGATAACCTAGCGCACTGGCAGAGCATTTGTTTAAAAAAAAACTAAAATACATGTACTTGGATCGAACCCTGGGTGAGGCGGAACGTATGGACAATGTTCATAACACCTGCTGATCCTGTTACCTAATAGATACCTGAAGTTAGGTGACTGCTGGGGTTACTAACCTACCATCTTCTACTTTCCTCTAGGAGTTATAAAGTGTGACACGTGTCACAGTGCATTATTATATCAACAATATAATACACGATTTATCCACAAATACATCAAATGATTAATATTGCTTTTTATTAAGTTTACGTAGCTGTGATCACGTACTGCAGTTTCAATACAATAAATGTAGCAATATTATCGTAAAACAATAGGTGTGAATAACGTGTCTAATATGACAATGGTGTATAATTGTATATGACAGATAAGTGTTCGGTGTATACTTGTATATGAGAGATAAGTGTTTGGTGTATACTTGTATATGAGAGATAAGTGTTTGGTGTATACTTGTATATAACTGAGATGAATGTTCAGTGTATACTTGTACATAATTGAGATAAGTGTTCAGTGTGTACTTATATAAGACAGAGCAGAGACTGTGCTAGGGTGTTTACCCACTAATCAGTGTTCAGCTGAAGCTGCTGTGCTCACATTCCTGGGCCCACTTCTTAACCATCAGTCTACCTGTGTAATGTACTCTCTTCCTTTCAGGTGCCTTGATGTTGTGAGAAGCTCTTCATCCAAGGGAACTGAGGGTAACCCTCCTTTTTCTTCGATCAGATTCACTTTCTTCCTATTCGTCAGGCGCTGTATGGACCTTATGGGTTTTGCGCTCCCATCAATTAATAATATAGAATTTTTAACGAATCGTTGATGCTGCTACCAATTTTGCTACTGGAAAGAGAGTGAGGTCCAAACATTAATGCTTAAATCCTCACTGTCATTAGTTAAATAACTCAAAACTTGCCCACAAGATTCCAAGCAGACAGCCAATTACGTGTAAGGATCGTTATTCAGGCAATCCGGCTTCACTCGTTGGGTGAGGCCATGCTGCCCACTAAAGTAGTTACTGTGATGAGTGCATCAAAGATTGGTCAACCTGCCATAGCCCATCAACTAAATTGTGCTCGTATGGGCCCTTCAAGGAAGGCACGTGCCTTGGCACTGGTGAAGGGCTCTTGATCTGGAGCTGCCCTCCCTTTAGAACTAGATCAAAGGTATAAAATACCGACAAGTTGTAATATACATATGCAACACCAGTGTATCTTCATCTGAGAGATGTTTCACCTAACAGGAATTTCATCAACATTAGCACGCATGATAATATAATCGTCAGAAACAGTGTTCAGACACGGGTCTTGATCACATGATGACCTGTCACTGGCTCCAAAAGGAGGTCCGGTAATGTACAAACAAGTATTATTATTAGATTCACGGGGGAAGTGCTAAACCCGAAGGAGTCATACAGCAAGATGTACAAGTAGGGGTCTACCAGGAGAGTGTTCCGGCGGTTAACGCCCAGCCGCCCGGTACCCCACCAGGCCTCCCGGTGGATGGCCTGATCAACCTGGAGTTTACCTGGAGAGTTCCGGGGGTCAACGCCCCCGCGGCCCGGTCTATGACAAGGCCTCCTGGTGGATCAGAGCCTGAGCAACCGGCTTGTTACTGCTGGCTGCACGGCAATCCAATGGTCACGAGTCAAAGCCCGCTGTCAGTATCGACTTTAGGTGCTTGTCCTGCCTGCTTAAAGACTGCCAGGGGTTATTGGTAATCACCCTTATGTTATGTGGGGGAGGCAGTGAACAGTTCGGTCCCCCTGACTCTTTTTTATATTGTCTCTGTAAAGTGTTGGTGACCAACCTACTTTTCATGGGGGAATGTTGCATCGTCTGCGAATCTTTTGCTTTCGTTGTGAGTGATTTTCGTGGCAAGTTCGGTACTAGTCCCTCTGGTTTTCCAGGTTGTATATAATCATGTTCTATCCACGCCTGCGTTCCAGGGTGTAAGGTTCAGGAAGTCAAGCGAACTCCCAGTAATTGAGGTGTTTTATCTCAGTTATTGCGCTCCGTGAAGGTTCTCGTACATTTTCTAGGTCAGCAATTTCACCTGCCTTGAAAGGTTGATGCTCAGCAATATTTCCTGCCTAGAGAGACAAG